CGCGAGATCAGCTTGATTGGCACCTGGCCAAAAACCGAACTGAGTCAGGTTGTGATCTTTGTCAGTTGGTGCGAGAAAAAGCATGATGACATGGCAGTCTGACCGCATTTAACGATGAGACCCGCCTACGTGCTGCTGGGCTTTCATTGAGAGTTGAACTTTTGAACCCCGCCGCCCCCTTGGCAAATCTGAGCAATTTGTCTGAGATATGTTTGGCATTTCATTCTTGGCAAAGGACACTGTACACGTACTGTACTTGTGGAGTGCAATTCCCGTATGTACCAGTACATGTGTACACATGTACGTACATATGTACATTGTACGTTTGCATCTGTAGTTGCTGAGTTTTAAAGAGGAACGATAAAGTTTTCTCCACAAAATGAAATGCACCCAGCTATTGAAGCAAACTTACAGACATAACTGAAATACCATAAACTTCATGGTTAGCATCGTGAAGCTTACATTGTACACATGTACAATACATGTAAATAAAATGTTCACATAATTCGCAACCCATTGTCTCTTCTCCTTCTGCCGGTACATGTGCATGTGTTTCAGTTTACTTTCCTGTAACAACAAGTACAGTATGTTCATTGATAAGATGCATGTATTTTTTCCTCAAAATGGCCAGGTAAACGGTTTTCCCGCTGGTGTATCGTTTGAAATACATTATGCTGACATTATGCAGCACCGGTGCATAATGTCGACAGACGTCTCCCTTTAAGATAGCGGGATCACTCAGCATTGTGAGCATAGCTGTGGTTAAGTTCAGATCACTGTGGTTAAGTCGTTTCCCAGGCATGCCAGGTGCTGTATGATGCATGATAATAAATGATAAAGGGCACTGCCTTATATAGACTGACTAATGGTGGTAAAGATAATCTGGTCAAGCTGGGGACTCCATTTAGATCCTGCCAACATGTATATGAAGAAAGGGGCTTTTGCTGTAGTACATGTATGCAGATTTCTGCACTCCATGTTGAGGAGTATGTGGGGTGAAGAAGTCATGGCCTAACTAGTGAAGCTACTATACAACCCATGTACAGTGTACATGTACCTGCACCATTTGTAAATTTGAACATAATGCACCTCTACATGTGTATACAATGTATACATACATGTACATATGTTTTCAGACCCCAAAAGGGGGAGAAAATTTTCACACTTTCGTCTCCTCTGTGAAAAAAGAAAGTTGCAACTTCTTTCAACAGTTGGAAAATTTTTCACACCTTGTTTCACGAGTGGAAAAAATGTCCAGGTGGGGTTTTTTTTTTTTTTTTTTTGGAAGTGGGAAATTTTTGTGCTGAAGGTTTTTTTTTGATTACTTATAATTTAGGTTTTCTATCACTATGCTCTAAATATCGCTCAAAAAGATTTCCTACTTTCATTATGTTCTTGAGAGAAAAAAAATTGCTTTAATCTTTTCATACACTTACTTTTCCAGTGATTTTAAACTTTGCTGACGGTTCTATTCTGTAAACTGATTACTGGTTGGTGCCGTTAATTTCTATCCATTTAAGTTTGAAATGATGCATGTACCAGTATTTATTAATCAGTTATCAATATGTTTGTTTTGGCAGGGCACATCCTGTGTGCAAAGCTGTGGACCGGACATGTACAGCCAGGCAGGTGTCTGCCAGACAGAATGTGATCACGGTTACTATGGCAACCCAGCCTCCTACATTTGCCAGACCTGCTCGATGCAGTGCTTGACCTGTGGCTTCAATGAGGAATTCAGTATAGTATGCACGACCTGCAGAGCTCCCAAGGTAACTGACAAACCAATGAAAAGGATTGACCAAAGCCACAATTAAAACGGACCCACCAACTCGCTGACCGAATAGATCTACATGTACCTGTACTAGAGGACCCAACCTCAGTCTGACTTGCCGACCAACAAACAGACAGCCCCCAGGGCTATAACTCTTAAGCACCTTAATAGAGACTCTCACATTTTACACTTTTTTCACATTCTTATGCCCATTTGGAAGATCTTACCAGCAAGTAAATATAACGAAACAATGTTAATGCCTCTCTGGCATTTCTGCATGTATGCATGTCCTTTCCAAACCATCAAATACATAAATGTACAGATTTAGGAGAAGTGAACAGTGGTCTTGTCTTTCCTTGCCTTGGCAGCGATGTATTGGCCACGGTTCGTACGGGTGCTGCCCAAGTCAGTGTCTAGATTAGGCTTACAGAGCTACATGTTTGATCACAACCGATCTACGAGGGAATCCCATACTCAATCTGGCTCCATGTTGGCAACCCACCAACATACATTGTACACGTACCTCGCCCCACAGAAATACCAAGCAGAAACACCAAAAACATCCCCCCCAAACTTACATGTACATGTAGTACTGTGCCTCATCAAGTACACATGTAGCTTCAAAAGTGACTGCTTTCCAAGTTCGTGGTCTGCATCCTGCGTACGTGTACATGTGTGCATAAAGCAATAAATTATGGTAAGGGTATACGGTCAGGGGCGTATCCAGCTTTTGGTGTCGGGGGGGGGGATTCAAACTCCAAAGCGAATGCAGCTGTATGGTTATTGCACAGGATGTTGGGAGAATAAAAAGATCAGAAGCCCTACTCATGGTCTCGACATCCTTGGTTTTATTTCATGGTGTTTTCCTTAGGGTTTTCTGCGGGTTTTGGTGCCAATATTTGATCAATTTACCGATTGCTGTCTTGCCTTCTCACCTGTGAAGTATTTTGAGTTACATGCACAAAGAAAAAAAAGCCGTCAGGGGTGGAAGATGCCCTCCTCTTCCACTGGATGTGCCCCTGTCTACAGTGTATCTTTTAATAATTGTCAACATACTTTTGACATTGTCATGTGGTCACACGTTTGAAAGCCTGACTTAAGTCGCCGGAAAGATGACCAGTTTGTGTGCAAACTGTCATACATGTAGTGTTTTAGGATCATCCCAAACTGTACCGGAGCGGAACTGAAAGACGAGGGTGAAAAGTTCAGGAACTCATGGCCATTAAATTGCACTAGAAGCACTCCCCTGCATACCGACACTGTACTTGGATACCGGCACTTTTCTTTCTGTGACTGTTTCTGCCTAGACAGCTGTTTGCATTGGAGCGCGAGAAAAAAAAAGTTGTAAGCTGTTGCAGTGCTGAAGGTGACATTTTTTTTTTCCCAGGCTTTTTTTTTAGTGTGCATGTTCATTGTATACAGGGTACACCCAATGTGTCATTCACGCACACATTTTCAACGTTTGCAGTACCGGTGTATAATCCTCCTGCCCAAGTATTGATTTGATAGCCCTGTACAAGTGCCCAGTGACTGAGCGTTGCCATGAGCAGGTAACGCGAGTCGTTCAGAATGCAAATGCCACAGTAAAGCAAAGTGCAGAAATTGTATTTGATGATAAAAAAAAAAGGTCATTTCCTACAATTCAAGTGTGACTTGACATTTGGCAGATAAAGCTGACAGCTGGCAAAGAAAGGTGTAACCAGACAAACAGCCTGGGTAAACACAGACGAGACAAAATTTCCCCCCCCACCCACTCATTATGTGAACTGGTTCTTCGCAGCCTTTATCTTTCCGACTACAGGGCATTATGTGGTTTTACGTGGGGGGAGGAAGGGATTTAAGGCATCATTGACCAGTAGGCACCAGTGGCTTGAACACTGTACCACATTTAGAGCTGAATGAAAAAAAACCACCTCAGACCAAAGCTTGAGTCTACAAAGTGTTCAGTCTGCTTGTTGATTTTTGTGATGGTGTGGGCATTTTTTTTTTTTTTTACACCTGCGGGACGCATGCAACCTAAGTAAAAAAAGGACGGGTTCCGTGAATCTCGCAGAGAGTGTATGAAATGTGCACATGCTAACAGTCAGGCAAATCTGTGTTATTGTTGTGTCATTAATGGTAAAGTTCACGGTTGCCTTCATTTTTTTCAAGAAAGAAATTTTCGTAAATGTCACCACGGTGCCAACTGTGATTTCCTCTGGTGTAAATTTGGAAGAGTGGATCTGGCTCATTACCCTACTCGACAGCCTGCACGTACGTTTACAGTACAGTACTGTACATGTACGTATGTGATGTACTATTTATGCAAGCAGGTCACAGGTCATGTCTGCATTTTGTGGACATCTTTTATCCTCTCCTCAGGCCTTTACTAGGAAAAACCTGGTGTACCTGAACATGCATATCTGATACTCCGGGTTGTTTGAGAAGCTGATAATTACATGTACATTGTGTAGGTTTGCAAGGCCAGTAAATCATAAACTAAATGGATGAACCAGTACATACATGTACATGTATCCATATAAACATGTACTTATTTATAAACAATTTTTTATCAGATTAACAGGTGGTTAACATTTTTCACTCTCTGAAAGGTGCTATCTTTAACATGCCGTTTCTTTCAAGTGAACACCACAAATCAGCTCATGAAATTTTACATGAAACTGCATGGTTTCCAAAGCACATGTACATACGTGTACCAGTAGTACATGGCTGTATCTTTGATGTATGTACACCGGCCGGATGTGTAGCTGCGGGAGACATTTTATCTTGACTCACACACAGCTTTTTGTTGGCTTCAGATTCTGAACAATGGTGAGTGTGTGGACACCTGCCCCAGCTCCACATTGCTTGCACCAGCAGACCCAAGCAAAGTGCCCAACGCCGACCAGATACGATTGGTCGGTGGTAGGGACCAATTAGAAGGCAGGTTGGAGGTGAGAATGAAATTTTTTTGAAATTTCCAAGGATATCCCCCCCCCGCTTCTGAAAACTGTAACTTGGCTTTAGTTTCTGTCAAAGATAGATTTCTGTTTTCCATTTCACTTTATTCAACCTGAACCCACACCACCCACTCAGGTAGAGGGTCTGAGACATACTCGCCCATCAGAACAGTTTTACCCCCAGTAAATTCTTGAAGTTTCAACAAACTTGAAATTGTATCACTTGCTTACTTTATCCTATAAATATCAAATGCCTAGAAAAGGACAAGTAGACATGGGGTGTAGCATTAGTGAAATTCCATGAAGGTGTTGCTTTTCTTGCGAAGTTTGCAGCTCCTTTTGCCAAACACTGGTAGTGTGTAACTTACACCAGGCCCGGCATACATTTACCAGGTTCTGCAATCAATTTTTCTCAAGAAACGAGCAACTCATGTACTAGAAAGTTGCCCAGGAAGCAATTGAGGGATTTCATATTAGCGCCGTCTGCGCATATCTGCATCAAAACCGAGGCTCTCGGTGTTGAACTCCGTCGCGCGCGTCCGCAGAGTCAACAGAGTACATGCAGTATCCGGTTCGTTAAGTGTGATGCCACTTCAGTTTAAACCACGCCCACTGCACAAGATACAGGACCATCGCAGGTACGTTAGTTCGCGGTCAATAGTCGTTATTCTTTCTTTTGATTTTACGTGTCGAGTCATCCTGAAAGACTCTTCCACAAAAATTTGCAGCCTGAAAAGTCTGAATTTTACATACCTTTACGTATTTTGTGTCTTGACTCCTTACTTTCAATCGTTTGATCGTATTAAGAATTGAAGCTGACCCATACAGCCTCGTTTTCAAACGCGAAAGTGCGCAGATCGACGCTAAAAGTGTCGTATTGGGATCCCTGTATTGAATGAAGGTTTGTGATGAAGTCATCAGTGTTTCATCTCTAGTCTATAACTACGTATAGGAGGTGTTTTGATCACTCAAAGTTACATTGGAATTCTGTCTGCACACAGGTGTTTCATGATGGTCAGTGGGGGACAGTCTGTAATGACCTGTGGTCACTGAGTGCTTCTAATCTTGTTTGCAGACAACTGAATCTGGGTAAGTTAAGTTGTGGACAAATTACCGAGCACCTACATGTACTGCTACGTGTATATTTGTGTTAAACAGAAAACACTTTATATTCACTGCAATTGATTTATTGCTTTCTTGAAAAGCCTCTCTTCCAGTGCTGACAGTGATATGGGAAAGAGTTCATTGACTTCACAAGGATGCTGGAGTTTTTGCACATTCTAACGAAAATTGGTTGCATATGAACTGTGAAGTTTGCCCAAACACTGGAGCTCAAGTGGGTTACGGTGGTGGTCATTCATCAGCCCCCGTGACTGTCTCAACCAGATTTCCAATCAGTGCGTGTATGATGCAATTGAGCCTGCAAGATCTTGGTGACTAAATCGAACAGAGTTGCATCATCGACTCTCTCGTGATTTTTATCTGGGGGGAGCTATTTAAAGCCGCAGTCATTTAGCACTCGGCACTCTATCTTAGATTTGCAGCCGCAGCATGGAAGTCGTTTGATTTCAGTTTTCCCTCCTGCCACTCCCTGTTGCATCATCTTTAGAGCAACTGGTGGGTCAGTGCCCCTTCAGCCTGGCCTTTGGTGCCCAACTGGCATGCAGTCACTCTCTGCATGAAATTGTGTGCACTACATGCATGCACACGCTAACCCAACCTTCCACTGGCATGCATCTGTGCACGTAGGTGTGATTCAGCAATGTGCACTGATTTCAGTACCACACATGTACATGTACATGTGTTGCAATTTCTGCAGGGGATTGCATCATGCTCTGTGATACCTTGTCAGTTCATTGACTGTCTGCATGTATATATGGACATTTTCCTAGCAACTGTTGTGCGGCCACAAGCAGAAGCCGCATTGTTACTGGTACATTTATGCATTAAAATCAGCCCCCGATGCTGAACCAACTTTGATTGGGCCTTTATATTAACTCCGTGGGAGAAATTTTCTTAGGAACACCACAAAATGTGGTTCAGACAACAGTGACTGAGCCGATTTGGTATTCCCACTCTGCGTGCCCCAAATGACGTACGGCTAGGGTCAGCAGGGAACAGCAAGACATGTACGTGTGCGCAGGGTCTGGCCTGTCACTGCAGCTGCATGCCAACTCGCACACATGCTTTGTTTTCAAATGACGTTGCCATTTTGAAATACGAAATCGGCTCATGGAAATCAACCAGAAAGCGGATGAGTCGGCACAGTCCTTGTGCTTCTTTCCCACAGCTCATCGATGTGATCATGCATTCAGTCTCAGGTTTTGTCACCCAAAGTTTTCCTCAGTGTTCAGTTCACAGGCAACTTTCACTGCGCAAGGACAGACTCAAAGACAAACTGGCATTCCGCTTTTATTCTGCTTTTCTGAAAAGAATCGAAAAATGAAAACAAACTGTGGCTCACTGCAAAGGAGAGGATTGCATCTTGCCAGGAAAAGCCCCGCATTCCAGCACTAAACGCCCCGACAGAGTTTGGCATTGAATGGTTCATTGATTCTCTTATCCTACTTTCAGGCAGAAAAGAAAACATGCATTGATACGGGTACATGTACTTTTGTAAATTACCTGACTTGTCAAGGATAACCGTCACATGTCCCCCTTGTTTCTTTGTGGTGATGGATGTCAGAAATGCAACTAGTGGTTATTGTTGTTTCCGTGTGAGCAAATTCACACAGCCTACAGTGTTTGAAATACATACATAGATGTGTATGTATAGGTGTCTGTTTGTTCATATCTACACATGTATCGGTACCAAATTAGGCCAACGTTGCTCTCCCCTCCAGCCAAGCACAATTCTACTAATAACCACAGGGAAAACATCCGGAACATACGTGTACACACTGTACATCCTCCCAAGTTTGTTTTCTTCTGTTTCTTGTTTCCTGTTTTTTTTATCTTTGTTCTTGAGATGAGCTCATCAACATCTTGTTCCAAACTATAATCAGATGTAAACAAACATTACATTTAAACTGGACTCTCAAACCATTCGCAGCTCACCTTTTGAAAAGACGGGCCATTTCATATATACATGTATGTACATGTACTGGGACAGCACATGTACAGCACATATACAGCACATGTACAGCACATGTACTTTCTGGACATGAATGTACATGTACATGTAGTTGTAACCCATACAAAAGGCTAGAGATTTGCTACATGTACATGTACATGTATGTGCCAAAGTGACATACATGTACATACATGTACACTACTATGCCTAGAGACGACCTGTGAACAGAAGAGGCTGTGTCAACCTTATGTGGACTGTTAGCCCGGTCCACACTTTGGAGTGAGTTAGTTATAATGTATTTAGTTATCTGCAGCAAAGGGAGAGGCTCAACTGAACTAGTCACGAAAATCCAGCTTCAAAGAATGTTCACAGAGTAGGAAAAAACAGCAATTTTCCCGGAATTTTCTGAATGACCTCAAGACAAGGGGATGCAGCCGCACTACTCGTAGTTGGGTAGACTAAATGCGCGTGCCCACACTGCCGGTTCCACTTGTCCGCTGGAAGTCTATTGTTTGCCAGAATTAGTATCAAAATTTTAATAAGTTCGGACAAGATGCTGCAGGCATGGAGCACGCGATGTGTGCCCGTAGATGCATATAATTGGCCCTATGTAAATTCAATTAGGAAATGCATTTTGGATGGCAAACACTGGAATTGCTGCAAGTGAGCCATGCCTCTTGACAACAGTTGAAGGTTATACGTTTTGGTTGACAGCTGCAGCCAGTGTACATACAGTGGGTGTATTCATCTGAACAGCAGCTGCAGTGTATCAGCAATGGGGACATGTTGATATCATTCTTTGAACTAATCAATCTGTTTTGGCACTGAAGGAGAGCAGGTTGTGCCGGAAATACATACTGTAGCACGTGAGGCCGACCAGCTCATTTTTTTGTAGACTAGCTGCCAAAGGGTGGCGTTAAAAGTTCTCCAACAAAAGGACACGTCGGTACAAAGGAATGCGTGGCGTAAATAAGGCGGGGAGGTTTGGGAAATCTGTGTCACTTGATTTTGCTCATGCTCCCCCCCCAAAAAAGGACACCTGTAGATTACATGCCTATTTATGGAGATTTTGGTTGCTTTGAAAAGTAGTCCGTTGATAAAATCAATTAGAACGTATATACGGTCGCAATGACAACTTCATTCGTTTCTGAATTACATTACACGTACAGTGCATTTCATTTCATTTATTATTTTGCAGCTCAATACAATAAAATGACAAAACCAAAGAAGCGCCCCTGCCGGATTGCTAATAAGTTAACCTAATAACTATCTGGTAGCTCTCCAGGCGCATTTACTAAGTATCAAAACAGAAAGCAAAAAGCTTCAAACACACGTGGACAAACAATTATAAAATAGAATACAGGATATTAATTTCAAACATACACTAGACACTGGGACGAACAGGAAACAAGAAAAATTACATTATAAACACTCGACCCTAGAGGGAAAAAAAAATAAATAAATAAATTCAAAATCCATACAGAAACAGGACTCTTCCACACCCGACCCAATGAAGAAATATACTATGTATGATTTAAAATAAATAACGTAAAAGACTAAACTGAAAACGGGACACAGATTACAAAAATAGCAATGGGATACAGACAGTGTAGATAAAAAATACATATAAACATGTACAGAAAAAAATTTAAAAACATTATCTAAAAACTCAATTAAAAGGTTACAAAATCAAAACACATAGAACCCACTGTTAACCCCTTCGTGCCGGGAGGCGGCTAGACACGCGGTAAAACTTGAGATCCTCAGCCCGCTTTTCAGCTTTTATTCTCGGCCCACACTGGAGCGAACATGATGAAAGGAGGCAGACCCTGGCTCTTGTATATATGGTAATTGGCCTTTGTGTGTAGCCCAGAAATGAAATACCAAATTTGCATCATAATCACCAGCTTCACAATAGTTCCCACTTTGAAAAGAGGCAACGGGAACGTGGAAGCGTGAGTAGAGCCGCATGCCACCGAACAATCAGCATCGTGTAATTCAAAGCATGCAGAGCACGCAGGGCCACAAACTGAGAATTTGCGATTTGGCAGGTGGCCTTTGTGGCCAAGCGAGGCAGGAATTCTTGGAGTCGGCTTTCGGGAAGAAATTTCCGTCAAGGGGTTATTAAAAAAAAAGAAAAAAAAAAGTTCTGTACGTAATGTGCACACCTGGCTAGTGACTTAACCAGAAAGATTTAAGTTTTGAGGTAAGCCCAATGTAGGTATTTGTCGTCACCAGGTGGTTTTTAAAAGCAGGTATTCCATAGAGAAGTGGATTACTGTTATCATGGTTATAGCATTATTTAACCAGAAATGGGTGTCTAGTAGTCATTTTCATTTAATTTGTCGTATTTTGTTTTTAAAACTCAAGTCGAAATTTTGGGGTTTTTTGGCCAGAAAATGGACCCCGACAGAGGAACACATTGTCTAAATAGTTGCCTTGGATGTGTTTTTTGACCACAGGTCGGGCGGAGTCGGTCCTGATTGTGCGCTCAAGGTCACTGATTCCACCCGGACAGGGCATCATTTGGCTGGACAACGTCTACTGCCGCGGGCTGGAGTCCAACCTGGACGAGTGTCGGCACAACCCATGGGGCCAGAACAACTGTAACCATGGAAAAGATGTGGCCCTGAGGTGCACAGGTGCGTATCATTTGAAATTTGCACACCAAAGCAGCATACATGTCCGACTACACAGTTGTCACCATACATGTACATGACTATGGGTATACTGTAATATCAACCATTGAATTCCTTGTACATGCACATGTACATGTAACGTCTCAAATTCATGCGCAGCTGTGTACGTCCCCTGAAAAGATTCTGCATATCCCAATGAGGATCAAGCCCAAGAAGAAAGCTGATTGTCCTGTATCACCTATAATGAATATCAGTGTTGTATTGGAGTCCATCACGAGTCCCTGCAAGTCCCTGCAGGTCCATCACAAGTTATTCAGTCATGAGCCCGTTCATAAGCTATTCCAGGGAGCTGTGGCAAAAGCGTTCTTTGGTCATGGCTCACCCTGTTACCATGGTTACTTGTGACTGGCCTTGTGGTGGACGCGATGACAGCACAGATTAATACAAAACAAGCCTTTCAGAACTCAGAGGAAAAAGATTGTGGAAGCCGTGAAAAGTCTGTCAATGTTTTGTTAGTATCAGTAGGACAGCCGTTGTGTCTCCTGTTATAGAACGCTAAAATGTGTGAAAACCACTGTCTGAGTTAATGTCATGTGTTGCCCTTGCACTGACGAAGATATCGCACATAACGCTGCATACTCAGTGGTTGTCTGAAAGCTTGTGACAAAGACGTTTGCACCAGTAAGGAGGTCGTGGGTTCGAGTCCCTTGGACAAGCTCTCGGACAAACACCGAGTATACTGTGTTATTTCTGTTCGTTGGTGTAAGGGCAAAAACTCATTTTAAAAAAAATTTACATCTCCCCGACACAAAGTGCATCTTGTAAACCACAGTCTAGCTTGAGGTGCCCTGTTGGTTGGTAGGAGGAATTTCCAGGGAAGTGACAAAGGAAGTTAACATTCACATACAATTCCATAGATTCTGCAGGCAGGAGAGCAGTTAGTCGCTGTTTTTGACCCCGCATTTCAAAGCCAGGCTGAATTTTTCTTGGCTATTAAATGGAAAATGGAATAAATGTACCTGTACACGTGAACAAGGCGAAGAATCCCCCTGCTTTAATTTCAAGCTTTCACTCCCCGTTATATACACCAAAGGCTTTCTGGCGGCAAAATTTACTCTGTGGATTACTTGAAGTATGAAAATTAACAGAGGAGAGAACTTGATTGTCCAACATTAAAATAACTTAATCCAGCCCGATTTCTGTAATGGGGATTCACTGTTGAACTGTGTAACTTCGAGGAAAAAGGCAGTTTTCTGATTTTGTAAATGACTGGAATAAGAGACAATGATTTGATTTGGAAGAGGTCCTGATTTAGAGAGTGTCTATCAGTGGCCCAGAACTAATCCCATACCTACATGTACTCATTAGGTAAACCTCACAGCTATCACAGGTATGGGGTAACTGGTACCAGCTTGGAAGTAGGTACATGTTTACATGTACCTGTAAGTGTATGAATACCGGTATGTCATCGACTGGCTTTCAAGATCATTAGTTCCATTGTCTGCATGGGATAATCCCACTCACATCTGAGCCAGTCATCAAGGCCATCAGTCTTTGATCAATGTTGCTGGATGCTTCAGGTCAATCCTCTGGCCCTCTCTTTGTTTGGCAACAAAAGAGGTTATCCACTCCTGGCCAGAGCCCAGTTTTGGGGTCGTTGACCACAGAATAGTGGGGACTGCACTGGTGTTGAGCGGTAGTTTGAGGTAAAAATGCATTATGGAGAGAATTTTTTTGCCGCTATCAAAGCTCGGTCCTAAATTTCCTGAATTTTTTCCAAAGTGTGGTGCCTGCTTGGGCACACATGCATCGTGGTATCAAAATACCCAGTGACCAGAAGAGCTTATAAATTGACCGACATTGTGGCCCACTTCTTGTTTTTTATCAACCAGGTCCAGGCATTCGTGAGTGTGTCACCACCTGCCCACGGGGCTATTTCCCAAACCCTCTGACTGGCCAGTGCGTCCCGTGTTCACAGGGCTGCCTGCGCTGTGAGAACCAGCCCACCTACCACTGCCTGGAGTGTCAGCCCGGTAGCCTGCTGCAGGATGACCAGTGTGTGGACGAATGCAGCGCCGGCTTTCACCCGGACGGTTCCAGCACCTCCTGCAGCCCTTGTAATGACCTGTGCGCTACCTGCGCAACACGGGACGATTATTGCACCAGCTGCAAGGGGGAGCTCATCCTGGAAGGCATGCCTCTTATTTCATAGTTCTTTCATTGACATTGTTGAGAATTCTCTCTGTCCCGAATATAACCGGTGTGACCCAGTCATAAATACTTGTAAGTTCAGGTATGTTTTTGAAGAGTCTCCCCCCAAAAAATCAGTCTCTGTCCTTTTCTTTTCATAGAGTTAATTAAGATGACAAAATATGTAACGACCCAAGTTTACATACCTGTAGTCAGCGTGATGCAACTCATAAAAATGTTTTCCCAATGATGAATAAATAGTTCTGACACCATTTTTCCCACATACACGTACTTAAATCCCCCCCCCCACAATCTCTGTGCAAAATTCCTACTGCTGCGCCACACCCACTTTTCCTGTGTGGGTCAGATCTCTGTGACGTGCCAGAAATTTGGTTGAAAGTCGTACAGCAAACTGTCCAAATGAAGTTTCCATCAAGGACCGATCCCTTTTCTCACATATATTAAGTTCTAGTCCTAGTGTGTCGGTCTACATGTATCTTGTGGACGTGGAAAAGGATAGAACCTGCCCCGTTCTTAGCACGGGCATGCAGTCGAGATTTAAGGCTTTATTTTTGTGCTTTTCCCCTTGACAGGTCACACCTGTGTTCCACAGTGCAACGGCTACATACTGGTCCCGACCGACAAGATTCGGCTGGTAGGGGGCTCCTCGCCTCTTGAGGGGCGTGTGGAGGTGCTGTATCAGGGACAGTATGGGACCATCTGCGATGACCAGTGGGGCTTACAGGACGCCACTGTGGTGTGTGCACAGCTGGGGCTAGGCAGAGCAATCAGGGCTACAGAGGAAGCTAGGTGAGACGGGATGCCACACGACATAATAGGAAGGGTGAACCCCCCCATGAAATCTGATTTCTTACATGAACTTCCAGCGTCATATGAGTATGCCAGTTTTAAATATTCTCTCATGCCATTGTGCTCCCAGCTGGTACAAGAGACGGTATAAACGATGGTCCCTCTGGTGTTAACTCACCTCACTTTGTGCGCATTTATGGCGTGCGACGCGCAACCAATTAAAGTTGAAATACATGGTTTTTGTGATTGCTCCAGGACAAATTTCCCACCAGCCTGTCTCTTCCTTACCAATGAGGGTGCACTCCAACTTGGGGTGCTTTATGGTAATGAGGCGTTTCTCCACGCAGGATAGAGTCCGACTCCTCACACGGAACAGGTCAAAGTTTTGTCCGCCACTTGAAGGAATCTTTTACACGAGGATGGTAAACTGGGTGTTTTCTCGTTGATGTGATGAAAGTTTAACCTTTCCCAAAGAAATCTGACAGTCGTGAACATTCCCGCAAATGTTGATGATGTGACTAGATTCTGCTGACCGAAACTGCATTGTCTGTGTCCATACGGGCTGTACATTCTCCTGCTTGTCCTGGTACATGTATCTACCAGTACCTACATGGACCAGCTACTCGCTGCAAAGATCCGTCAGTCGGTGATACATGTGCTGAGCAGATACTTAGCGTAGGTCCACGATCAGGGAACAACTTGTATGGTTTGTGATTCAGCGAATCAGAAGGTGGAACTGGTTAACCATGAGCGGCAAATTTTCGTGGAAAACTTGACTTGCGAAGAAAAGGCAAGATGTTCGTGTATCAACCAACTTTTTTTTACACAGCCAACCACCACAGAATACTGACGCTTGGACAGTCATTTTTGCTCGATATTTGTGTACTGTTTCTCAGTTGAACCACGTAATTTGCAAACGGTGTCAGGAACCCCCGTGGAGTGACATTTGCCATAACGCTGGCTCTGCGCTGCGGCTGAGTTGCCACATGGTCGGTCTCCACAGACTACCCAGAATTTTTTGCATTTGTACCCCCCAAAAAAAAAATTTACGAGATCAGGCTTGTGTACAGGTTGGCTGTTGGAGGCCCAATGGAGCAGACAACAGCCTGATGATGTCTGCATGGCCTGTGCTGTCAACAGGTTAACACTAATCAATTTTCAGTCGATTAACATGAATCAATTTTCAGTTAATCAACATTAATCAATTTTCAATTGGAGAAAGCAGCGCCGAGTGCAGCAGAGCCGAAATCTGGCATGTTTCCAATGAATGATGCCTTTATGTTTTATTTTAGTTGTTACAAATCTCTTCCTGTTTTGTTCTTTGTTTGCCAGCCATGGACAGGGAACAGGAGAGATCGTCCTGGATAATGTTGAATGCAAGGGGGATGAGGAATCGCTTCTCAGCTGCGACCATGCTGGGTTGGGGGTGCACAATTGTCAGCATGACGAGGATGCAGGTAGGCTTACGCTGTGTCCAACAACACTTGGATATCACTCTCGTCAGTGTTCATTATCAACAGTGGTTTTTAGTCAAATCCATCAGGAGACTTGGCCCGAACTCCCTCGGCCCTTTTTGCTAGGGACTCTCCTCAATCCCCCAGAATCCTCCAACGTGGGGGGGGGTTGGAAAAATTGGAATCTCCTTCAATCCTCCGAAATGCTTAAAAATTTTTCGAAAATGTTACTTGGAGGTGTGCCTAACTGCCCAAATCCTTCAAAATCCTCCGGCAGTTCCTGCCATTATGTCGAGGCAGTGCGAAGGGCATTCTTTAGCAGTGCGGTTGATTCAAAAGAAATATCGGGGCTGAGTTTATGCACGACTGAGCAAGAACAAAACAAAGGTCTAACCCACGACCTTCACTCATGGCATCCTTCACAATCAGCCAAGGTCTCGGGAATTTCATCGGGAGTGTTCTATCCCAAACCATCCAGCCTTACTCCAATTAAGCAGCAAGCTGTTCCAACTGAGCACAACTTTGGCAAGGGCATCCTCGTGTCATTGTTTATGTTAATTACCCTGCCACGCATGGCTGGTGCGGTTTGTAAAAGAACTTGTGATGAGCTCATCAACTACGACGCTGATTATCAAAATGTTCAGAAGTGAAATGCAGCGGAATGTAAAGAAAGCATAAGCGCTGATATTTTGGTGCCAAGCGATCCACGCATCTCTTGGATAGGCAGAATGCGATCCAGGACTGGGTTTTTTCCTTTTCAAAACTGATGGTTAAAAATTTTATCCCAATTCCTTTAGGCCACGAAGGAATGCTTGCATCGCATTAGCTTCGCCTTGTTTTGTTCAGCTTTGCTTTGCCTCCTCAAATTTTATGCCTCCACTGCGTGCAGCAACGTGTCAACCTGACATGCCTGTTTCATACACCACCTGCGGTCAGGCTGAACGAAACTACGTGTAGCATGGTACATTACCACAGAGAGGAAAATTTTGCTGGAAAGTCTGTTGGTTTAGCATCCACGCGTAGCGCTTGTGCCGTGGCTCTTTTTTTTTTTTTTTGGTGACACAGATTTTTTATGCACTTTTCCCTCCATAAATTGGAAGCAGATCTCACTGCAAAACATTTCAGAATTTACGTGAGATGTTTCAAATCAATGAGGAGCGGAAATGACCCACGGTCACACACGGGGCTGCAGGTGTGTAGCTTGCCATCGGTTTGTGCGGCACAGAATGTTTGATCTGACAGAGAATTGGGATTGAACTGCTAAAATGTCGGCCACGTCTCTCACTGAGATCATTCAGCGGTTTTCTGGCGTTGCGCAGCTCATCACGAGCCGCGTTGGCGTTGGAAGATCCTGATCAGATTTTGCCCGTTGTTTCCATGCAGTAGAAATGGGTTTTTGTTAATAATTTGAATAGAATAACAGTAGGTATCAGAGGTCTCAGGTTACATATTTCACCTAACATGCACGTATTTCTCCAAAGAATGCACACGGTGGGAAAAGATTTGCCTTGCGTTCGACCATAGAATTCATTTCATCAGTCCAAAGGTGTGTGCGCGCGTGTCCCAAGCCAGCACCAGGCAGAATATTTTCTCTGTCGCAACCTGTAGGTAGATTGTGCCAAATTGTTGGGACATTGGTCTGTCCTCACAGCCTTTTGGCTCCACACAATAACTATTGAATGTGTAAGTGTACAGGTACCGTTATGTTATGCCTGGTTTCCACGTCGACGTAAGAAACGCAGAGAGCAACGCAGTCAAGATGCAAACTGCAACGCCGACGTATGGGAACGTATCAAACGGAGGTGTTGCCGACAACGCAGACAAACGCAAACCAGCCTGCGAACAATGAGCAAAATTGAGCCGGATTAAACTTTTCCGACTGTCGGCGTCGAGCAGCCGTGGTATCCCCATACAAACAGGCACGCGGGCGTGACCGACGTGCAACAATGTCCCTCTCACCGAGTTCCATGAATTTTGCCCATTTCGCCTAAATGCTTAAATCTTACACCCCAGTGTTCCACTAAATAGCTGACCGTCAATGAAATGTATGAAACTGGAGCAGAGGTTTGGCATCATGAGAAAGGAAAGTCCATCTCAAAGGGTATTTTCCACAAAAAAAATCACGGAGTTTCAGACGCCAGTTTGTTTCAATTTTGGGCTGGAACGAAGTCTTGCACCTCATCTTCCGTTCGTGTCTGCGTCTTCACGTCCTGCGTTCCGTCTGTGTTACAAACGACCATGTGGAAACCAGGCTTTATTCCTTAAGTGCACCCGAGGACCATTGATGTCCTCGTAGTGCAGGCAGTGAGTGTTTGTTGGGGTTATCATCGCAGAATGAAGAGGATCGTATTTCAAAGCAATTCATATGGAAGTTTTTTTTCGGTTTTCCGAACAATATGAAAACAAAGGAAGGTTCACGTACGGTATGTACCGGTAACATAAATACGTACAATGTATGCGCTTGTATATATGCTTTCATTCTTCATTCTGTTCAGAGGATTTATTCAACAATCTGGGGTGTTAGTGTTGTGATTGCTGACCACGTGAGACAAGCACTTTTGGGAACGGGAGCGAACGAATCATGGGCACTGCACATTTCCACAATCTTGTCACCTCAAATGCATGCTGCCGCACACCAGTACGTGTGTATTCACGTGTACTTGTATGTACACATACGCAATACATGCCATTGGACGTCTGCCATCTGTGATTGTTTGTTTGTTGGGCTCTTTGCTTGTTTTGGTTTTTCTCTGGTGGGTCAGGGCAAGGCAGGCACTATCCATGTATTGGTGCAGTGCACATTTTGGCAAAGTGATTGGATGAGGAGACAAGCACTCTTTGTGGACGAGACGGGGATGCACTTAGCATTGCGTTTCTCACTGTTCGCTGATATCATGCGGTCCTTTCTTGCGGTGGCTGCTTGTCATTCATAGAAAGGAGAAGGCCTGTCGCAACAGTGATGGTGTGCAATGTGTACAATATTATAACTGCACTTTTTAATCACTTTTTTGACTTGAACCATCTACCGGTGATATGAGATACCTGGAATATTCCATCAATTAAAAACTCACTGTAAATACTCAGCTGCTTTCTTGTTACAATGCACTTTGCCGTGACGTGTAGGTAAATCTTAACGCTACGAGGCAGCTGTTTGGATCCCCGATAGAGTACCAAAGTGAATACGTCGCGCACAATCAGTGTGTAAAAGGCATTAGCTCGAGAACCAGCGCGTGAACCAACACGCGCGCGTACTCCATTCGTTTGCACTGCACTTTCTGGTTCAGAGTGACGTCACACTTTGGTACTCTATTAAGGACCCTGTTTAAAATGGAGCTGTCTATATCAAGTCACGGCCATGTTGCTGTCGGATGCTGGAATCTGTAGTACTAATACTAGCCCGGTAATAATTTGGAGAAAAATAAAATTCATTGTCAGCTGGCTGTATGAAATCGTCCCCAAGTAGTCCAACTCTGCTGACGGAGGAGTGCTTTTGGTTTTTTCCGTGGCACATTTCAAACTAACCCTTGAGAATAAGAAAGTCTTTCAGAAAATCATGCCAGATGTAGCATTAATAACAACGTTGACTTTTTTTTTTTTAACTTTTATAACTCGTGTCAAACTCTTAGGAGTTGTGTGCTCCGGACCCATGACGTCCAATATCTGCATCCAGAAGTCGGACTGTTCCGACGGCTACTTTGTGTTTGCCGACGGCCTAAGGTGCGGCAGATGCTCCTTCAGCTGCGCCACCTGCGCAGACTCGGCCGATAACTGCCTCAGCTGCCCCAGCGACCGGTATCTGAGTCGGGACAACCAATGTGTTGAGACCTGCCCCCAGGGTTTCTATGGAGACAGCAACAAGACCTGTCAACCTTGCAGGTAATTAGCAGTTGCGTCTTTTAGGTTTTTTTTTGTTTTTGGTCAATTGGAATTTAAATTGTTCCGGTGTAGCGGTCAGATTTCAACACTAAATGGGAATCAGACTGGGTTCTGCATCTGACAAAGTTTGGGTTAAACCAGGTTACAGTTGTCTGAACTGAAATTTGAAGCTAGATTCAGAATAACCCACTTTAGAAAATTTAAGTGTAACCCGGCTGTCCCCAGCTCAGGGCTTGTGATTTCAATCCACTGATGTGGCACACTGGGTGTAGTTTTCCGAACATTTTTACTACAGTTGTGGAAGAACATTTTTATAAATGTTGTCTGAAGTCATTCTGCAAAATGTTCACGTTGTAGTCTATGGAGTTTATACAAGTACGTATCTCCAAATTTACTGCAATATTTGAAATGTCTACATGTATTGCGGTGTCCATAGTCTCTTCTGGTTAAATATCGGGCTGAGGCTGCAAGCCCCTACGCTGACATGGCACACTTGAACAAAGATCCAAAATCCACATTGAAACTGTTTCCTTCCTGTTGAAATCACCTACCGTTAATCAGGGAATAAATGTGCGCTTGGCCAGTCTCAAACCTCCGTTTAAGACCAACTCATGAGAATGGACGTGACTAATGTCCTAGCTGTGCCAAGGGCATTATCAGTGTTCATTCTCTTGAGTAAGGTCTTAAATGTTAGTTTAAGACTGGCCAAGTACGTCTTTATTCCCAGTCATAAATACCGTTTTAGACTGAGAGTCAAAAGAAGTCAATACATTACAGATTTTGAACGATTTTGTTCTAGAATTTTACTTTCTTTTTTCCGAACACCCCTGTTCATTTTATGGTGTATTCCTTATGCAAGTTGTCCAAAAGAATCTCTATATATGGACCTTTTGCGCTAGTGGCCACAACCCAAGCATACTCTAAAATAACAGGGACGGATTAAACTGTCTCGTATCCAGGTGCCAGAGTGTTTTTTACACAGCAGGCATTATCAAATCTCAGCAGGCGTTGTCAAATGTTAATACACAGTCATGTTGTGCATTGTGGAATAGGGAAACTATCCATGATACCAGTATTCATGAATTGTGAATCACACTTCAGTGCCCAACATTGTGCTTGACAGAAATTAATAAGAGCATTTTTTTTGAAAGGGGAACGTGCATATTAAGATAAAAATTTTCCTCTGTTGGACTTTCTATTTCACCTGTAATGTAGAACTTTAAAATTTTTCAGTAAATGTACATGTAAGGTTTAAGAATGGAGATTGATTGAGCTCTCAAAAGTTCCACGAGAGCAAAACACGACCCCATGATGTGACTTGTGAAGGACTGGGTCGCATTTTACTCACACATGTAATTTTTATTTACGACTACATGTTCCTTTACGTATGTCCTTTGCTGTATAACTTTTGTGTTTCTCTTCAGTGGGAATTGTCTGGATTGTAGCGGCAGTGCTGACCAGTGTACCAGCTGTGCCTCCGCCCTCTATCTTCAGTCGGGGGCCTGCGTGGAAGCCTGCGACAGCAACATGTTCACCAAGAAGGGCCCATCAGATATCAGGCTGGTCGGTGGCAACAACCACTTTGCTGGCAGAGTGGAGGTAAAGTGTATAGATGTACAACGCTGTATACAGCCGAAAATCAGACTGCTAAGTCACGGAGCAGGTATTCCCTACCCTTGCCATTTGAGACCTCTTATATCATTTAGCCTTCTCATAGGTCACGCAAACAGTTAGCACAGTGCTATTTCGATCCGGTTTGTATAGCGTGACGTCACGTCAGTTTAAACCACGCCCTCTGCGCATAGAGCTTCGTGGAACCATGGGACCGGAAGGCAACGCGGAACTTGAGTGCTCGTCCAATGGAAGTTTGCAATCAGTTGTGCACGCGCGTACACGACAAAGACGTTTACCAACCGCATAGACAGCAGACAGCTGAACACTGTGTTTCCTTGCCCTTTGGAAAAAAAAATGAGCACACCTCTGCCAGAAAAAAAATGGAAAACGCTCGTTGAAATTAGTGTCTTTAGGAAGGAAAGAGTTAACAGAAAAAGCACCTTCTCACGTCGGAATCTTCAGTTTGCTACAGCGTGACTTTACTATCGCTTTGCTACATGTACGTGCACAGCCTCAACTTCACTTCCTTTGCTGTAGATACACTCCTGTGGAGGTCAGCAACACACTAAAAGAAACAAGCTTGTTTCGCTAATAATTTGACAGCGGCACCCTCCAGTTCGACCTGGAGTCTTTGCTGATAAGCTACACCACACAGTCTGAAGCCCACAGAGCTTTATCGCGGGGCAGCCATCTTGTTTTTCTACCATTGGCAGTTTGGCAGTGTTGCCAAACTGAGGCCGTGTCCAAAATGGGCTTCTGGCGCTGCGGCTAGGTCTATTTCCAATGGAGTGAAGACCTAGACCTAGCTCTAGACAAGAGATTTGGATGCAGCCTGAGGCTGAAAAAAAAATAGTGTGTTTCCGTTCATTAATATAAAGTTATTTTACTTTCGTCTTTTGGTACACAGCGACAAGACAAAACTGACAGCGTGATGATATTAGTCTGTTACTTAGGGGAGGGTATTGGCATATCTTGCTAGCAGAGCTGAACGTACACCAACAGAGCAGTGGTGATAGCTTGAATGCTATAAATATGTCTCCTTGAGCATCGTTAACGACTGGCTTTCAATCTTTGATGTGCAGGTGATGTTTAATGGTGCATGGGGCACCGTCTGTGACGATGACTTTGATACCAACGATGCCAATGTCATCTGCCGGCAGCTGCAGATGGGTTATGCCATCCAGGCCTACTCCGGTGCCCATTTTGGGGAGGGCAGTGGGCAGGTGGTCCTGGACGAGCTGAGATGCAATGGAGATGAAGAGTCGTTGGGGGCCTGCGCTGGGAACCGGTTAGGTTCGGACACAGTTGACTGCCAGCACTATGAGGATGCAGGCGTGCAGTGCTCCGGTCCAGGATCTGCTCTGCATTGTATTGAGGACTGCGGGCATGGGTATGACAGACAATTGCAGCACCCCTCCCCCCGATAACAATTCTTTGAAACTTTCCCCTATTTTTCATAACATGTTCATGGTAAAATACTCTCTTATCAGTTAACAAGACCAAAAAACCCCGGATGATAGTAATATTTGAAACAAGGTCATGTTGGCTGAGTGCTTTACGTGTAAGTGAGCGCAATAATTTTACCAAACCTCTGCAAATGTGTGGGTGGTATCGTCATGCTTTCAGTTCATTTCATTTCCATTTGGACGAGTTCTCCCGAGTTCTGGTATTGATTCAGTCCACGTCCATGTGCGGTCTACGCAGGTACTACGCCACGGAGGACAGGGTCTGCGAACTCTGCAGCAGCCTCTGCCACACCTGCGAGGGCAACGCCTCCAACTGTGTGTCCTGTCGGGAGCCCATGTTCCTCATGGATAACGTCTGCGTCAAGGCCTGCCCGGCCGGCCAGTACGGCAACTCGGCCAGCCGTCAGTGTCAGGCCTGCACCGACGAGTGCCAGGAGTGTTTTGACGGCGAGGCCGGCGACGTCTGCAAGTACTGCAAGCCGGGCTACTTCCTGGACGGTGAGTCTGCAGCAGCAAACAATCACGTTTTTTTCCGAATGATGTCTCCTGTGAGTATTCTCACTGACGTTGACAACGCTTGGATCGGCATTTGGATTTATCCACGCAGAAACTTGTTAACGGGATTTTTATGAAAAATGTGCAATTTCAGTGAACTGGTTTCATGGAATAAACTGATGGCCCTTTTTTCTTTCACTTTTTGTCAGTGGTATTGTTCCACAGTGAACTTGTCCCGAGGCACAGCAGTGTTTTTGGCAAGAAAGATACTGATTTCTCCTAGGGCTGTGCCGAATATTCGAATAACCAAATATTCGATCGATAGTCAAATATTCAAATATTATTTTTTGAATTTGAATATTCAAATGCAAAGTTCATGAAAAGGATGGGAAAATTTTCTTTTGTTTTTAAATGAGAAAAATTGCGCTGTGGAGGCTTGATTCAAGTACATGTAGATTCAAATGAAAAGCGTCAGAAACCTTACAAAGATTTAAAAAGTAAATTGTTCATGCTTTGTATCATCCGGCCTGAAGTGGTTGAAATATTTCCATGGGCTAAAAACCTATAACAAACAGATGCACTGCGGACAGGTAGAATTGGTGATTTCTAACTGTCCAAATCTACGGATGTGTTCTAGAGCCAAATATTCCGGCACTTGTCCGAGGCTTGACCAGTCTGAATCGTCCGTGCGCATTGCGCTTTGGCCGTACAAGTGAGTGGGCTGTCTTGTTTTCCAGGCTCTTCTTGTGTCGGTGAGTGTCGCCAGGCGGCCATCCTGGAGAGCATCTTGCCGCGGGAGGCCAGCAGCCCCGCCGTGCGTCTGGCAGGAGGCACCGAGACGGAGGGTAGGGTGGAGATATTCTACCAGGGCAAATGGGGGACTGTCTGCGCCGATGAGTGGGACCTCGTTGACGGAGAGGTACGTGTATTAAAAACACACACCGTCATAAGCCGAGTTGTGTTCAGAGTTAAATTGAAGTGGCATTCGTCTCTGCCAAGCAGTTACGGCTTGTTATGCTGTGAAAGTAGATGCTGTCATTGGTGGTAACTAACTGGAATTATTCCGTGGAAAGCTCAGTTCTATCCGCTCCGAGCGGAACAAAAGAGGCCGTGCTCTTTTGGTACTCACCGCATAGGCGCGCATTTATAATGGAGATCAAAAGCGCGTTTGACACAGAGCACGCTGAGTACGCATAATGAATTTATTCCTTAATGCATGGTCTTTGCGTACATGCAGAACGCGTGCAAGAACCCACTTGGATAATTCACAACCATCTGTCTTTCTTTTGCCACTTGGGGGTGCACTTCGGCTGGAAGCGGATACAGTATGGTTCAGTATCCGTGTCGCATTCCAAACAAAGCTGAAGCATGCCCTTCAACAAGAATGATGTCAGTTACTTTACCTTTAATTTACATTTTTTCACACAGGTGGTCACTTATTGTATCTTTCATTTAAACTTTTCACACAGGGGGCCATTTATTGTATCTTTCATTTAAACTTTTCACACAGGGGGCCACTTATTGTATCTTTCATTTAAACTTTTCACACAGGGGGCCATTTATTGTATCTTTCATTTAAACTTTTCACACAGGGGGCCATTTATTGTACCTTTCATTAACATTTTTCACACAGTGGGTCACTTATTGAACCCTGAATTTGAATTGTTCACACAGGTGGTCTGTCAACAGTTGGGGTTAGGACACGTAGTGGATGTGATGGACAGTCGCTTCTATGGGGGTGTGTCCCTGGGCACCCCCATCTGGATGGACTCTGTGGACTGCAAGGGCTGGGAGTTTGCCTTGAGCCAGTGCAGCCAGGAAGGCTGGGGCGTGGGTCGTTGTGAGAGTGGAATAGCCATGCCCAATGGGGATGCAGGTGAGGACAAGACCAGATGTCTGATTGGTCCATATCTGGTCCATTTATGCAGTGATGCATTTGATTGGCCATGTCATTAAATATGACATCTTTCTACCATGAGATTTACTCTTTAGTTCCGAACCACTGACTCATTACACAGACTGAAGATTAAGTTATCCCAATACATCAAAATATAAGGTTATTAAATCCAGCGTGACATGAAAATGAAAGTTGATTTTGGATACTAAGAAATGCTTTTAATTCAAAGTGGTGATTGCTGCTGCATTCTACTCTGGAACCACTTTTATAATCATTTTTGTACTTTGCTGCATCAGCTGTCCGATGCGATGGATCTACCAGCCCCCGACGGCCTAAGAATGTCTGCCGTGTTATAAAGAACTCCCCTTGCATGCCGGATTCGTGTGGTGCTGATGTGACCTGTGTTGACCTGGATGGTGGGAGGTCGGTGTGTATGGAGTGTCCAGAGGGACAAATTGGCACCGGCACAGAATGCACAAGTAAGCAGCCTTTACTGAATTAAGTTTAGTTTAGTAGTTTGCTTCTGTCTGTGCGAATCTGAGTGTTTCATCTCTTCTTTCCTTGCTGTGCCTCTAGTGGTGGCCAGCGTCCCACCGGAATTTAAGAGGACCCCTGAGGACCGCAACTCCTCGATCGGCACGCCGTCAAGTCTGAGCTGTCGGGCTAAGGACGGCAGCGCCCCCACCGTCACCGCCCAGAACTGGTTGAAGGACGGCGAGCCCCTCCCCCAAGCCGAGCTGGACAGTGGCCGGATCGTGGGCCTCAACTTTGGCTCCCTGTACTTCACCACCACCCACAGGGAGGACACTGGAAACTACACATGCGTCATCAGGAACTCGCAGGGATCAAGCTCTGCATCTGCGTTGCTTACTATCGAAGGTGTGCTTGTATGATCAAGTTTGCTCCTGTGAAACGTGCCCCTTGATTTACAGTGATGGATTTTTCTACAGTTTTTGTATTCAGTAAGCTGCAACAAGTGATGTGCGCACTTACAGCCAAAGCTCTGTTTACGAAAATATAATAATTGTTACTTATCACAATTTTTGTTAGTCATTGTCAAAAAATGATATTATTTTTTGATACTCGAGTTGTGAGCAAAAACCTACCGTGTGGTTTAGCCAAATACATCCTTGGATACTTTACACGAGAAACAGGTTCATTTTCTTTTTTGGTTTTATTTGTGTTTTGTTCTTGGGCAGAACCTCCCCAGATCATGCAGAAGATGGATGATACGGTTGCCATTGGCGACAGCGCCGTGTTGGCTTGCAATGTGGTGGGGCTGCCTGCCTCCACGCTCCACTGGAGCTACCAGGGGAAAGCGATCAGCGGTGACCGCTTCACAAGTTTCGACGGGAACGGCTCGCTGGTGATCGCCAACGTCACCAGTCAGGACGAGGGCGATTACCAGTGCCTGGCAGAGAACAAGATGGGCACCACTCACACCACCGTCGGGCTGACTGTACACGGTAGGCAGCATGGGAACCGACTGCGCCATGTTTATTTACCTGTAGGCGTGGTATGCTCGTTAACCTCAAACGAACCTCAGACTGTCATATAGCGTCGACACAGCACGTGTGATAAACTCTGGTTTGTGCATATAGTTGTAGCTAACTGGGCTCTGCTCCTGAATAGGGCAAAATTCATGAAAGGAAGGGAACATTTTTCTTTTGTTTTAAATGAGAAAATTGCGCTATGGAGGTTTGTTTCAAGCAGATTCAAATGAAAAGCATCAGAAAGCTTACAATCACTTAAAAAGTTAATTGTTCATTAAACGATTTAAAGGGAATAGAAATTTTCAACAGGGCAAGAACTCTTGTTCATCTCTTAAATCTTGCTGTATCGCGGCTGGAGGTACTCCTAGATGTGAGAAGCTATTATATTGATCATAATGTACAATAGTGTGTGTTAATGATTTTGTATATGGTTTGTTCATCAACAATCTGCCGATTGGAACGACCGAATATTCCCATGTTTGACCAAATTTAAGGTCGAATATTTGAATAGTGAATTATTCGAATTGACTTCTGAACTACAAAAATGTTTTCAGTGAAAGAGAGAGAGTTGCTAATTTTGTTCATATTGAAAATGAATATGAAACATAACAGTGTCCCTATTCAACAATGTACAACTTGACTTTGTACATGTATTAACATTTGATAATGCCCGCCGAGAAGTGACAACGCCTGCTGCGTAAGTCATGCACGGGCGCCTGGATACCAGACAGTTTAATCGATTCTGATTGGTCAAGAGTCTGTGTGCACGTGACTTGCCACGCACGAGCCATGTCCATATCAGGAGATTCTTTTGGACAACTACAAAATAAAATTGATGAGGGTGTTCAGGAAAATAAACGTGAAATTCTGCAACAAAATCATCGGACATCTGTCACCTGTTGACTTCTTTTGACTCTCTCACTAAAAAAAAGGTACTTACGAATGGGAATAAGTATATGCTTGGCCAGCCTTAAACTATCGCTCTCAAGTAGCGTGTTTTTGAT